AATTTCGGTGACCGAAAACCTCCATCAATATATGTATATATGTATTCTGGTGAGTATTTAAAACATTTACAACCTAGTGATTCGCAAGTTTCTATAAAAAATCATGAGGTGAAAAGGCATTTAGCCCCGGGGCGGTAGCTTATCCCAATACATGAGATTACCGTTTCTGAGTGATGTCCTTGGTCCATCAGAATGTACCCCTGAAGCTTTTATAATTGTCATTCAACAAAATGTCGTCGTGTATTTCTCGAAGGAGGCAAAGAAGACACATCATCATCATCATCATAATGGACTTGGTTTGAGCTTCAGGTCAGATAAAACTGAATGGTCACGCGACCTACTGTCATTTTTAATCTTTGGTTTAAAAGTCGCGGAAGAAATAGAAAATATCATGCAATAAGCTCTGCTGAAAACTGTTTACATTACATAAACATTGTTCAGAATAAAGCTATTAATATTACCAGGGTATAGTCTTATAGACTTAGAATACGCAGACGACATAGTCCTGTTAGGGGAGGACGCTGACAAAATGCAGAGTCTTTTGAACACCTTGAGCAGCAATCTTCGTATGTTTGGCATGCGATTCGCCCCTGTGAAATGCAAGATGCTGCTACAGGACTGGACTACGTCAACTCCTAGCTTAGTAGTGATAGGGAGTGAAGTGATAGAACATGTTGACCACTTCACCTATTTGGGAAGTTGTATCAGCACCAACGGATTGATTGGTGACGAAATCTCAGCACGGATCCAGAAAGCTAGGGCTGCTTTCGCTAACTTACACCGTCTCTGGCGTAGGCGTGACATTCGGCTGTCAACCAAGGGACGTGTATACTGCTCAGCAGTTCGCTCCATCCTTCTCTATGGCGGTGAGACGTGGCCATTGAGAGCGGAAGACATGAAGAGATTGTCTGTTTTGATCATAGATGTCTACGATCTCTTTCTCGCGTTAGGTGGTATAATAAAGTAAGTAATGTTGACGTTAGGCGTAAAGTGTTGGACAAAGAGGGAAAATCAATCGAAGAGGCTATGAAGTTACATAGATTGAGATGGTTAGGTCACGTGCTGCGCATGCCTAACCATCGTCTCCCCCGACGGGCATTACTAGCTGATATAGGTGCAGGTTGGAAAAGAGTAAGTGGTGGCCAAACAAAAACATGGCCTCATCAATCCATGAAATCCCTGACAGTTAAACTGAGTCAGGTAGGGAGATGCAGACTTCCGGGTTGGGGCCCGCCCTCGGGACTCTAAGAATCAATGGCTGGAGACAATAGGTGACATGGCTCAAAATCGTTGTGAATGGCTAGCGCAGATGTATTCAGTCTCTGTAATCTTTCATATTCCTTTCTGCCATTACTCATTCTGTTTCACTCTTATACTTATCTAAATTCTATTGATTCTCTTCTCTCATTTTCCTGTCTAGCTTTGTGTACTATTTGGAACGTGGCAACTCGAACTGCTGCACTTCGGTGCCAAGTTCTATGTTGAATCCAGCAGCAGCAGTGTTTCAAGAAAACATTACTTATTGAAAGACGGCCACCATTGCGTTCAAACACACGACGTCAGCCCCAAAAAGATGCTTATGTTGTCAGCAACGACTGAGTTTACTCAGCCAGTCATCATATATCGCCACCTCGGACGGGCTACGTTGAACAAGCACAGGGCACAAATGTGCCCAACGAAGGCTCTTAAAGTCAACTTTTCTTTTCTTCTGAGAACTCTTTAAATTGACCATGTTTAACATAAACTGTCATTAGAATATAATAGAAATTCTCGATTCGATTTGTTTCAAGTTTCACCATGAATTGATATGAGTTAGACAACCATCGAAAAGTAACCGAGGAGTACTGGTCACCTGTTTAGTACTAGTTTTAGAACTCTTCGGCAGTACGCATCCATCAAATGAGTTCGAATCCAGGGCCTTCCAGTTACAAGGTTAGCTCATACATCATTAGGCTACTGGAACCCGACTCAATGGTCAGCCCACGAATCCTAACTTCTATCAATTCGTGATATTAGCAGGACCACTAGTCAGTCAATGTCATCGGTGAGTAATTGTACTTACTGGTGACCTACTGGACCCCATGACTTCTCACTAGAAATAACTCCAACTTTTATTTTACTCATAACATGGATCATAATTCACTTCCAAATCAATTTAGATATTCATGGTTGAAAATGTTGTCTAGAAGAAGGACAATGGAAAGCCTCCCTCCAGATCTTGGAGAACACATACACACACAACAACAACAACAGTAGCAACACCGATTACCATCTTCTGAGTTACTGAATCTACCCCAGCCGCCCCCCGCCATTCTTTCTATGTATACAAATTCCTTCAAACTTGCTTCACATTCTGAGAAGTACTGTTGCACTGATCGATTAAATGATAAATCCACACACACACACACACAGAAAGACACCCAGTAATCTCAATGACACAACGCATTCTTAAGACACCGTTTTGTACAACAATCTACACAATATGTACAGTAACTTATGAATTCTACTCTCTGCTTGTTGGTTGATTCGTTTCATCAAAAGTCTCTTCACAAAAAGATTAGAAATATCAAAATTCAATACCGTCTTTACAATTATCTTAAAGATAGGTGGTAGTAGTATATGCTGATGAGTTCCATGGCATACCAACACAAGAAGCATATATGCATCGTATATACGCATGAGCAGACACACACACATACAGAGTGTGTGTGTGTGTGACAGAGAGGAATGTACAAGTGTGAGATTACTTGTCATTTCATAATATTGTATAACACTATATACCATGAGAGATGAGTACATCTCATTCAACGCTGTAATATTCGGCATATATTTATATGTATACAGATTCACTCATATTACATATAGAACACAATAGTTCAGTTCATTATGTATTTTATCACTGGAATTACTCTTCTCTTCTGTCTTTATTGTTGAAATAATAAAAGAAATATTTACGTGTAATATGATACATCACAACAAAATATTGATGCTCTTAATTAAGATGAATGATAATACAAAAAAAAAAGTGAAATTAACTACTTGAGATAATGATTCTAAGATGATAAACACTTATATATTTTTGATGAACTATTTATTGCTTCATTATTTATTTTATTTATTTATTTATTTTCAACTCCAATGTGAAGTCAGTGCTACTCACTATACGGATCAGAGACTTAGCCAGCGCGTCATAAAGAGCATCTCAAACAAACTACAAACCTTCATCAACAGCTGTCTTCGCTCAATACTCAAGATCAGATGGCTAGGAGCGAACCAACCATGAACCGATTGTGAAACAAATAGGCAGGAAGAAATGGTGATGGATTGGTCATACTCTAAGAAAACAAACCATCAAGTGACATCACCAGGCAAGGCCTTGAGTGGAACCCGAATGAATGGGAAGTGGCAAGTTGGTCGTCAGTGCAAGGGTGACTTGGAGGAGGTCATGTGAAGAGGAGATGAAAACGTGTGGGCAGACTTGGAGCCATGTGAAGACTCTAGCAGAGAACCGAACGCAATGAAGACGTTTGGCTGAAGCTCTATGTTCCTCTAGGAATTAAAGGAAACAATAATAATAATAATTTATTGCTTGCGCGTCGGTGACACACTGCGGTAGAATGCTCGCTAACCACGCTGTATGTGGTCCGGGGTTCGACCCCTGGCCACCGACGGACGCACTCCTCCCTTACGACCTCGCTAAGCCAGTAATAAGACTGGTAAAGAGGAGGGAAAGTTGAGCCAGCCGAGGCTAGATAGCAACCCCATCTCCTAAAAATAAAGAGACACCACTGCTACAGAAACTTCAAGTCTCTAGTTTGAAGCCACCTTTGTTCCACTGGGAACGTCAAGGAATAAAAAAAGAAAGCTTATTGCTAGTATTATTCATTTATCGATATCAGATAGAGAATGAATGAAAACTACAGTAGAAGATGAACCACTCCTTCATTCTATTTCAGGACTCTTCAGCGGTACGCACATCCATGACACAAATAGGGTATCAGGCGATCCACTTGGTTATTTATTCATGAAATGTAACTTCTTGAAATAAGTTTAAAACTTGGGCACTGTGGTAGAGTATAACTCCATTATGGATAAGATTTTATTTTGATAAGTCACACATTGTTATACAGTAATATTAACTGATAACGTTTCGAGCACAAATTATTACTGCTCATAATCATATCAAGTTACTCACAAAATTAGTAGGAGAAGACGCTGACGAAATGCAGAGTCTTTTGAACACCCTGAGCAGCAACAGTCTTTGACTGTTTCGTATGCGATTCGCTCCCCTTGTGAAATGTAAGATGATGCTACAGGACTGGTTGGACTACAATGACTCTTAGCTTAAAGATAAGCAGGAGTGAATTCTTTGGTGTGGCGTCTTGCTTGACCACTTCACTTATTCAGGGAGTTACATCAGCCAACTTTCAACAGGTTGATCGCCAACGAAATCTCAGCACGGATACAGTAGGTTGGTTTGGCATTTAGCAAATTACGCCATTTCTAGCTTAGTGAACGTGATATCCAACTGGCTGTCGATAAAAGGGCGTGTGTACAGCTTAGCAGTTCGCCTTGTCCTCCTCCATTATGTCTGTGATACATGGCCATCGGACGTGGAAGACATCAATAAAAGGCTAGCTAGTTGATGACGAGCAATATGGAAGTTAAGCTAGGTAGGTGGGAGGGGAAATCAATCGACGAGGCTGTGAACTTACACCGAGGTCGAATGTTTCCTGTACCAAACTCTAAGACAAACTAAATTGACTGATGAGCACGCAAACTGTGAAGTAGACAGAGTGGGACTCGAATCTGAGAGACGTGAATGCTTCAAGACAATAAGCCACAACTCCATTTACTTACAGTGGTTACCTAATTTTTAAGACTATATCTCTTAACTCTCTTTGTCTTAATATCATCACTGTCTACACGTAATTAAAGTAAATAAAAAATTAATTAATTAATTAATTGAACAGATCAATAAAAGGGTGAATAATACTCACGTTTATCGCATAAATTTGTTAATTTCGATTGTAAATTAGACAGTTGACCAGTATATTTCATATATTTCTTTTCATAGGCTTTTAAACTCAACGTGTACTGTTAAAAGACGAAACAGAAAATACACACTTCAGTTAAACGAAATATATTCACATAAAAGTAGTTAAAATATTTATAAAAGACATTTATATTCGCTACATTTGATTACCTTTCAAAGTGTAGTAGTACACAACTTCTGTTTGTATTCATCGGATAAAAGTAATTAATATATATACACCATACAGAGACAGAACTGTTCAGTGCTTCAATTGAAAACTTTTGGCGAAATCAATACATACAAAACACACATTTCAGAATATATACTCATCTTTTCTTTCTCCAAAAGTGAGTTTTACACTAGTTAACAAACTGACCACCACCTGTTACTATTGAGTGTATAAATACTTAAAATCTGATATCATGTGGTGTGTTTTTATTTCTTTCACTACTCGCGTTACGAGTGGAATATCGGACTTCCAAGATTAAGGATTTCAATAGCAGTGGGTGATGTTGTTCTCGAAAGAGCTGGGTTTCCTAGCCTTACGCCAGCCCTTGAAAACTAGATAACTTTTGGAAGAGAGTAGGTGGGGATTGCTTCACTTATTTGGGAAGCTGCATCAGCCCCAACGCCAACAGGTTGATCGAAGCACGGATACAGAAGGCTAGTTTCGCATATGACAGTTTACACTGTCTCTGGCTAAGTAGACGTGATATCCAGCTGGCTGTCAACCAAAGGGCGTGTGTACTCCTCAGCAGTCTACTCTGTCCTCCTTTACGGCTGTGAGACCTGGCCATTGAGAATGGAAGACATGAAAAGACTAGCTGTCTTTGATCATTGGTGCCTGTGTTCTATCTCCCGTATGAAGTGGTATAATAACGTGAGCAATTCTAAGGTTAGACTTCGATCGAGTGCTAGGTTGGTGGCATTGGAAATCAATAGACGAGGCTGTGAAGTTACATCGACTGAGATCGTTAGGACCTGTGTTACGCATGCATGCCTAGCCATCGCCTTCCTCGACCCATGGGCAATGTTAGCTGACATAGGGTCAGGTTGGAAAAGAGATAGCAGCGGTCAAACCAAAACACGGCTTTATCAGTCAACGGAATCCACAACAGTTGGTTTAAACTAGTCACGTAGGAAGGTGTAGACTGCTCATCTGGTTGGGGTCATCGGGAGGGTAAACACCAATGGCTGGAGACAACTGGTGATATGGCTCAAAATCGTCTTCAGTGATTGCGCAGATGCATCCAATCCTTGTGACTCATAATTTCCAATGAAACTATATTGTTCTTCGATATTACTATTCCTTTTGTCTCATATCCCTGTCGACTGTCTCTATTATGCATTTCTTCTCCTTTCTTCTCTTGTTTTGTGTGCTAAATGGAGGAAGTGTGGTGAGTTGAACTGCTGCACATCGGTGCAAAGTTCTATGTTGAAAACAGATAGACAGGTCAGGAATCCAGTCTGACTCACTCATGATGAGGGAAGAAGTCAATCGATGACGTTATGAATCTGCATCGATCGAGATGGTTAGCTGACATAAGATTGGCGGTGGAAAAGAGTTAGTGGTGGCCCAATCAATAAAGTCTTTAACTGTTGGTTTGGGCCAAGCAAAGTAGTCCAGGACGTGTTGGACTGACTGGAGTTGTCGATATACAAAGAATCGATAGCTCCAGACGGTTAATGAAATTAGAGCGAAAAGAACAAGACGTTCAAGTAAAAACATATCTTTTCAGAGATTTCATTCACAAAAGCTGTACTACTGAAAACTAGGGACCATAGAACAGCTGTTTCATTATAACTTGAGACTCCCACAATAATGCGCAGCCACAATTCATGAATTCAAGAGTTATTAGGTCCAACTCCTTGGACTCATCTTGTAATTTGAAGGTCTTGAGTTCGATCCCTGATGAGTTAGTGCTAAAACCAGGACGAAACAACTGTCCAGTGATTACCTAAATGATGCTGCTTATCTACGTGGAAACTGACCAAATGTCTACTAACCAACAATGAAAAAATTAAATCAGCTCAATCGAAAAAGTAAGTACTGAAATTTAGTATTAACCGTATTCTATTACTCAGGTCTGTCATTGGCACATATGGTCAGCATTTTTAAACACTAACAATTTACAAGATTGTGTATTAAATCTCAGGCGAAATTGCCCGCTGGAATGCACAAAACACCTTCACCAGAGTTTTGAGAACAAAGTGAAATAATAAATTTTTCTATGAAATTTCGTAACTGTTCACTGGCAGATTAGGTATGGTCAATCCCTACAATTTAGCTAGCCAGAATCAACAGGGTGAACTATGCAGCTCCATTGGAGATTTAAACTCGAAACATTAGTTAGAGAACCATTGGAAAACCTGGGAGTACTGGACAGCCGCTTCGTCCTTGTTTGGGACTCTTCATCAGTACGCACTCACCGGGGTTCGAACCCAGGACCTTCTGGTTACAAGGCGAGCTCGTATGCCATTAAGCCACTGAAACCCGATGCAATGGCCCATGAAATCTAACCTCTGCCCATTCACGATATAGCGCAACATCACCGTGTCCTGATATTAGTTAAAGGAGTTGAGAAAACCAACACAGTGGGCTGGCCAGTTGTTTCGTTCTAGTTTAAAACTGTTTAGCATTATATATCTATGACTGACTGACTCCCCCCCCCCCCAAGGATCGAATCTAGCTTATTAACCATCCATCCACTAGGACGAATTCCGATTGTTTTCATAGATTTTAATTTTCTATTAGCTGATTACAGTTGCCATTGGATTCTGTCCCAATGTGGCTGGAAGAGATGGACAGGTTCACCTCTTTACCTGAATGTACAAAGTTTGGTCCCCGATCGATTTATGGCTGTGTACTGATCAAAAGTCCTAATAAACTACAACGAAGCAGCTGTCTTATTACTCTCTGGGTTTCAGCACCTATTTTCCTCTAACTGATTTCAGCACGCAAAGGAATGAAGTAATACAGCCAGTAGGCCTTGATGATTAGAATAACGGTTAGTAAAGAGATTTCAGAATTGCAGAGATATGGTTTCTCAGAATGAATAATAGAAAAAGATGCATCAAAAATTGACACAAGTTAGAATTTTATAGGCTTTTGTATTCCTGTTACAACTGCACTGGACTGAATAAACTCGTCGCTACTTTGTTTTTATATCGGCGCCTGCTTATTGTTATAACGGTTATGATGAACTCGACTGGTGCGCTAATACGCGCCTATTTGTCTGTTGTACCTTCCGATTCACTGAGCCACGCGAATGTCAAAAGATAAAGGCTGGCCTGTGACTGTACGATATTACATTGTACATTTATTAGGAAACAAAACATTTAATTGCATTTTAGATTTTCCTGTCGATTGATTGGACTGAAGTGTTCGGTCTCAGGTTGACATGTCGGCGTCTTGTACAGATGCTTCGACGATGCCTGGGCGTGTAATTAAAATTTAATTGGTGAATGGTGACTAGCACTGGAAACCATGACAGCGCGCGTTTCGTCCTATCCGGGACTCGTCACTGGATGTACCTGCATTCCCCAGTGAGTTATGATGTTCCCACCGAGGCTCGGACCCAGTGCCCATAGTTTCAAACGCCAAAGCGTTATCCGCTACACCACTTGGGCCACGAATGCACGTTCATCCAGATGACGAGTCCCAAATAGGAAGAAATGCGCGTTGTCCTGGATGCCACTGCTATTCATCATCCACCAATTAAACAAAACATTATATTTATACTTTTTCTTTATCACAATACAGTCGACTCACAGACGTGAGAATGGACTGTTCTTATTGGCTGGAAATATCTGTCCTGATTGGTCGGCGATCCGACAAAGATCAAAGTGAGACAAAAAACGATGAATTGACCACACACACACACACACACACACTAAATCACAATACGCGTGAGAAATGATAGATGCACATAGTAACTCCATCACAAGATAAATCACACGATTCGTGAGAAAGCGATGATATACTAATTTATGCTGGGTCCTATCATTTTTGTGCCAGTGTAGTTGAATGGTCACAACGAGCCCACCTCGTAACCTAAAAGTGTCATGGGTCATAGGTGTCCTCTACTAGCTGGACAATCCTGAATAGAGCAGGAAATACTCGGCTGTCTGGAACTCCCTGGTATCCTGTGGTGTCTAAATATGAAGTCAGTTTCTTAATCTAAACTGAAATATGAATCATATCTTCGCAAAACAACAACAGAAAGGAAAAAGACACAAAAAGAAAACGCCACTGAACACATACCTGACGAGCTTGTGATTTCAGTTCTTCTTCACATTCCATATAAGTACGTTTCAAGCATTGTTCACAGGCATTCAGACTATCCAATTGACCAGCTGTAATCAGTTTGTGAAATAATGCACGTGTAGAATACATGCGTGCTTGATGATTTGTTGATATAACTAAATTGTGTAGAAGCTGATAACAGAAAAATAAAAGAGAAGAAAAACAAGAATTAGTTTGTAGGGATTCTGTTTGCTAGAGCCATTGACAATCAGGAAGTAGTGGACAGCTGTTTCATCCTAGTTTGGGACTCATCATCTGCATTCATAGGCCATTGAATTGGGTCCCAGTGGCTGCTGCATGGTGTACGAGCTCACATTGTAGTAGAAAAGTCCTGGGTTCAAAACAGGCGCGGGTGGGAGTGCGTGCTAATGAAGAGTACCAAACTAGGACGAAGTAGCTGTCCAGCACTACCACCAGCTGGTTCTTCAAGGGTTCTCTCTAACTGATGTCAGCCTGTCATCAATAGCGTAACTAATCAGATCCCTGCAAACCCACACTTGAGAATTGTGTTGGTATTGTGTTAAGGTCGACGGTAACAACTTGAGACATATTATCCAAAAAGCTCGACTGTTTAAGCCACTCAGCAATTAATGAACTTCTTAGCCTTAAAGCAGCAAACGGTAATATGCAAGAATAACTTGTCAAATGGTGTGTCAACAATCGCAACATAATTCTGTTGCATATTTAGAGACCGTGCGTCGGTGGCACAGCGGTTAAGACGCCCACCGACCATGTGCATGGCCCGGCCCGGCCAGGTCGACCCCCGGCCATTGACGCACTCCTCCCTCACCTCGCTAAGCTAGTAATAAAGCTGGTAAAGAGAGAAGGTTGGACCAGGTGAAACACTGCTACAAAAACTTCAAGCCTCTAGCTTGAAAATGCCCTATGTTCCACTGAGGAACGTGAAGGAAGGAAAAATAATAATATCGATTTGTTAAGTAAGATGACAGTGGAATTACAGTTCATTAAAGATGCTTAAATTATAATAGTAACAATAAAGATATAATAGTAAATAGAATATCAACTAAAATGAAGGAAATTTCCACAACAAATTGAGGATCATTCAAACCTAGATGGCCAAGGTAAGGATAATGTCTGAACTAGCTTCTTTTCGAAGCACAAATTAGGCTTCTTAATATGAATCCCAACAGCCTCAACAATATTTAGTAATCGAACTCTTAAGGCGAAATTAAGATTCATTGGTATGCGATGAATGACTCTGAAAGTCTCCTTGTTTACATCAATCTTGTGTTCTGTGTACACAAGATGAGATAGAATAGCGCTGCGCATAGATTTTGTTTCTGCTTTTCTTAACCAACCACACAGGGTGATGTTCGGAAATCCGACGAGAAACACGCGTAACTGGTTCCACAGAAGAGGTTAAATTGGTAGATACACATGGAAGAGGTGAAATCAGGCAGTTTATCTTTTACTCCAGGACGCAAAAGAGTGGTTTTGAAGACAAAGCGTAATTCGGCTGCAGGGAGTGCTCTTCGTTTTACCGCATTCCTAATGCGTTGTGCTAATATCTCGCTGATCATAACCCCAAGGAACTGTATTTGTAAAAATAAGGCCTTCCTTTTTCGGAACTGTTGGGCTGCCTTGATTTTAGATTCATATTCTTATCAATAAACTTTTCTGGATAACCATTTTTACTTAGCAACTGTTTAATATTATTAAGTTTCTCATCAAGACATTCATCCGAGCAGATTGCTCTTGCTTTGTGAACCAAGCACTTTATCAATCAGATTGCGTTTGTATTTCAAGGGCACAAAGTTAAGAAAATGAGTGTACTGACCCGTTGATGTAGGTTTTCGATATATACTTCTTCTTATTGTACCATCCTCTTTTCTAGTTATAAGGACGTCTAGAAATTAAATACTAGAGTCTTTTTCTTTTTCAATAGTAAAATTTATTGCAGGATGAACCTCTTTAAATTTATCCAGGATGTTCTTTGCTTCCTTCTCATTTTTCATAATCAAAAATGTATATAAACATATATATACATATATAATTGTAGAGCCAGAAGAGGAATTTTTCGAAAAGGATATTCTTTGCTCAATTATTTTGTGTTTTACAGATGTTTGAATGAGTATTTTTGCTATACTAGAAAACAGGATTTATATTTTTAATTCATCTTAGATTTTCCCATTGGTGGATTGGACGGAAATGTTCCCTTCTAGTACCGCGGATGCTTCGATGATGTCTGAGGATTTAAGTCGAAGTAATTTGGTGGATGGTGTAACTAGCAGTAGAATCCAGAATGCGCACTTCATCCTATTTGGGACTCGTCATCCGTAGATGTGCGTGCATTCCCCAATGATTAAGTGATGCTGTTCCCACTGAGGCTGAAACTCAGTATCCATAGTTTCAAACGTCAAAGCTACGAGAACCACCTGAAGTTAATCGTCAGACATTGTCGAAGCATCCGCGCACAAGCCGCCGATATTTCAGTTCAATCTAGTTAACGGGAAATTCAAAATATTAGAAACTATGATTGTTATCTCTTTTACCTACCTGGGAAGCATCGTTTCAACTACAGGCGGACGGAACTGACGAGGATATCAAAGCAACGAGGATCGGAAAAGCAAGACAAGCTTTCACTACTCTCAAGTCTGTGTGGAGGTGAACAGCACTCAGCATCAAAAATAAGATCCTGATTTTCAACTCCAATGTGAAGTCAGTGCTACTTACTATACGGATCAGAGACTTGCACTGCGCGTCATAAAGAGCATCTCAAACAAACTACAGACCTTCATTAACAGTTGTCTTCGCTCAATACTCAAGATCAGATGGCCAGAAAAGATCAGCAACAGGGAGGGATCTCTGGGAGCGAACCAACCAGGAACCGATTGTGAAACAAATAGGCGGGAAGAAATGGAGATGGATTGCAGGCCATACTCTGAGGAAACCATCAAGTGACATCACTAGGCAAGCCATTGCTCGAGTAGAACCCGAAAGGGAAGCGGCGAGTTCTTCTTCCAAGGGTTACTTGGAGGAGGTCATGTGAAGAAGAGATAAAAACGTGTGGGCAGACGTGGAGCCAGGTGAAGACTCTAGCAAAGAACCGAACACAATGGAGACGCACGGCTGAAGCCCTACGTTCCTCTAGGAATTAAAGGAAACAATAATAATAATAACAATGATTGTTATCAAAGACTTACTTTACTTAATTCTCCATCAGTAGTACCATTGGACAGATTTTTATTCCATCCTGATAGTGTATTACGTCCACGTCGACGTGAATTCCCACGGAAAAAATTTCGCATACTACCACCACCACCATTTTGACGTTGACCTCCTCCTCCTCCACTGGGATCTCCTGTTGCTTCTTTCTGATCATTTAATAAATCCGATAAAGCTTGTTGTACAGTTTTCTCAGCTTTAACTAATTTTGAAAAATATGATAACATTTCACTGATAGACTTGACTTGTGCATCAATAGCTGATGTGATCACCTGTGAGGCTTCTTTACAATCGATTCGAAATCGTGTAATGTCATGACATCGTTTTATATTCATACTGTCAACACCCACACCACCACCACCACCGCCACCAGCCCCCGGTGTTGATGTTATTGACGAGGATGAAAGGGATTTACTATGTCCAAAATGATGAGGAGGTAAGGGGGGCGCCATTAAAGTGTCTGATGTAGACGATAGAACAATTGATCTGTTATTCTCTGTAATATTTGTATGCGTTGACGTTAACGTATTGATATTGTCTTCCACGTCACTGGCATGCTCAAAATAATTTGTACAAGTTTCATTCACTGTATGATTCACCATAATTCAATAATAATATGCAAAATGAAAAAAAGTGTAAATAGTGTTTTGGTAGCCTTGTCAAAATGTTTATGTATGTACATGCGGAGAAGACGTCAAGTAAGTCGACCTGTGGAATGAAAAAAAAACAACAGGAAAACATAAAATAGAGGACTTCGTGTGCTAACCATCTCAATCGGTGTAACTTCACAGCCTCGTCGATTAATTTCCCTCCCACCTACCTAGCTAGCACTCAACGGCTAACCTCAATATTGCGCATCTTATTATACCACTTAACATGGGAGATAGATTGCAGACACCTATGATCAAAGACAGCTAGCTAGCCTTTTCATGTCTTCTACTCTCAATGGCCAGGTCTCACAGCCAGTCATAAAGTAGGACGGAGCGGACTGATGAGCAGTACACACGCCTTTTGATCGACAGCCAGCTGGATATCACGTCTACTTAGCCACAGACGGCGTCAACTAGCATATGCGAAACTAACCCTCTGTATCCGTGCTGAGATTTTGTCAGAGATTAACCCGTTGGCATTGGGGCTGATGCAACTTCCCAAATAAGTGAAGTGGTCAACACGCTCGCCACCATTTGACTCTCAATTTCTAAGCTAAGAGTCAATGTAGTCCAGTCAGTCCTGTAGCATCATCTTACATTTGACAAGGGGATCCAATCGCATACTAAACATTCGTAGATTGCAGCTCAAGGCGTTCAGAAGACTGCATTTTGTCAACGTCTTCACCTGGAAGGACTATATCATCATTACGGGAGATAGAACGCAGACACCTATGATTTAGGCAATGGTGAGTATACAGGTAGATTATTTGTACCATTACGAGTAGACGAGAAAATAACTTTTGTCACATAGCAATTATATAATATAACGATAAAAATAAATTGTGAAATCGAGATTAAGATGTACAACTACAACACAGTATGATATTGATAATACAGTTGGTAGTACAAATAAAAATAAATTAACAATATAATATTTATAGTTATTCAGTGTCACTGGGAGGGATTATTGCTCTAGGTTGGGGGTGAAGGCGAATGCAGGGAGAGAGATTCAAAAAGAAACTTTCCCTGAACACAGAGGTTGAGTCGGGAAAATCATTATGGCAACTGCCTTAGCTATGCTTGTAACAACAGAAGACAAGAGCCAGGCAACAGATCGTTTATTATGGAAATCAAAGCATATTTATAGATTTTGATGTACATTATTGTAGATTATTGTTAGTAGAAAATACAGTCTTTTGATTGGTTGTTTCTCACAGAAAGTTAACTTTGCATCTCTTTGTGGCTGTGTCAGATCATCCATATGCCGCTAACTGTATCCGCCTACGCAAAGCCTTTGTTCTCATCATTTTCTCACCACCAATATTGGAGACATAAACATTGACGTCAATTACTGTCTACCAACTTTGGCTAGCAGCCAGCTCTCACATGCTTAGCAACTGAAGGCTTACAAAATTATGGAATTAAGTTGGTACCTTGAATAGAGTTGTAAAAACTGGATTTTTATCCATCTTGTGCTTCGAATCGCCTAAGCGTTCCATTATGGGACTTCTGATTGACTTTACGATTTCTTCACCTAACCACATTGGATAATACTCCAGAAGGCGATGGTGGGTTCGCTGAGTCGTTCTACAGATAAATGCAAATTGAAGTAGCCAGATTCGGCAGCTTATCCTTCACCTGAGTTGGAATTATACAATGAGTGGCGAATTTGGAACACAATGCTGAGGCTATAATTTTTTAAGTTTCAATGCCAGCAATTCAGTTGCTGTCTCCCTTAAACAGTAGTTATAAATATATATATATGCATGTGTCGGTGGCACTGAGGTAGAATGCTCGCCAACCACGTATGTGGTCCAGGACTCAATCCCGGCCGACGCACTCCTTTACCTCTCTAAGCCAGCAATAAGACTGATAAGATAGGGAAGGTAGGGAATGAGGTCAACAACCCCATCTGATAGAATGCAGTATACTGTATATAGTGGTAAATCTGCCTCGCTTACAAAAGCCGGTGTTCCTCAAGGTGTCATCCTCTCTCCTTTTCTTTTTTCTTTCTTCCTACACGACCTGCCTCATTTAAACGAAAATAACTTTGTCAAATATGCTGATGATCTGACTGTATCACTGCCTATCACTTCCGAGTCTGACTCCTCCAAACTCAATACCTTTCTGTTGGACATCAGCAAGTGGTCTAAGTCAAATGGTCTTATGTTAAATCCTTCCAAATGTCAGGCAGTTAACTTTACTTTCAAGCATCGACATGACATACATGAACTAGTTAGTTCCCATGATGCCTATAGCATAGATGGCACAGAAATTGAAACCAAGTCAAGCATTAAATACCTTGGATTGGTTCTTCCCTCTCACCTTTCATGGTCATCTCACATCTTATCAATCTCTAAGAAAACGTTTCGTCTTACCTTCTACATTAAAAAGTTAAGACAATCAAATATCAACCAACCTTTACTTTTGCAGTTTGTAAACTCCTGCATTTTACCTATTGTACTCTATTGCTCTCCATTAATCTTTCCTGGGCTTCTCAAAAAAAACTATCATATTACGAAGGGTATTAAATGCTTTGAGTAGGGCTTTTGGTTTGCCACTGTGTGAGCTCGCCAATATTATGGACCAGAGAATATAAAATCTTGTACAAAATGGGCAAAGGCCGTACTGTCAGACCCTCTGCACCCCCTTTATTCACAACTATCCCCTTGCATCTCATCAGGTAGGACGAGAAGTCAATTTAGGAAGTTATATGCTGGCACCACTAAGTACAAAAATTCTACAATACCCTATTTAGCCAGTATTTTATGTGATGGAGACAGTTAGACGTGAAACATATAAGTTACTATTTAATTAGCAAAGTGAGTCGACACTTTCATTGATCATCTTTCTGTAATTTTATGGTGTCACCCTTTTTATCGTTTAATTATAACTTAGCTATTTTTATTTTAGTTGTTATTACTATTATTACTATAATTTTATACTTGATGTATATTTTTCTCCTTATCGCATACTGTAATTGCTACATAACTGCTATAACAACGTTTTGTTATTATTATTATGTAATGTTTATTTTTTCTCGTTTTGAGTAAATTAGATGCAATATTGTACTGAATGCTGAAAATTCCTTGCTGTATCATTAGTACTGTTTTTGGAATAAAGCAAAAATTAATGTTATTAATCTTATTATTATTATTAAAATACCACTGCAACCGAAACTTCGAGCCTCTAGCTGGAAGCCCTATGTTCCGCTGGGAACGTAAAGGAATTTTATATATATATATGCACCGTTTGCAGATATTAATTTATCTCTATCTGCTCTCATCACGGAGACTTTAACGATTTCTTTCTGCATATCCGTTCTCACATAATGAGTTTTCTATTTGCCTTATCTCATCATCCAGAGAATCGGTTGTACCGACTTTTCTAGAATTAAACATCAGGGTACTGACGAAATCTCAGCACGGATGCAGAGAGCTAGTTTCGCATATGCCAGTTTACGCCATCTCTGGTGTAGACGTGATATGCGGTTACCGACTAAAGGGTGGGAGTCTGCTCTGTCCTCCTTTATGGCTGTGAGACCTGGCCATTGAGGGTGGAGGATATGAAAAGGCTAACTAACTGTCTTTGATCATAGGTGTCTGCGTTCTATCTCCCGTGTGATGTGGTATAATAGAGTGAGCTATATTGAGGTTAGCCGTTGAGTGCTAGGTAGGTGGGAGGGGAAATCAATAGATGAAGGTGTAAAATTACACCGATTGAGATGGTTAGGACATGTATTACTACGCATGCACACCAAGCCATCGCCTTCCTCGACGGAGAATGTTGGCTGACATAGGGTCAGGTTGGAAAAGAGCCAGTGGTGGTGAAACCAAAACATGGAGGTAACAGTGAATGAAATCCACAACAGTTAGTTTAAGGCAGCCACGTATGAAGGTGTAGACCTCCTGGTTGGGGTTCTCGGGACGGTAAACACCAATGGCAATCGGTGATATGGCTCAAAATGATCGTTCTCAATGACAGCACAGATGCATCCTCTCGCTGTGACTTATAATTTCCAATAAAACTATATTGTTCTTCGTTATTGCTATTCCTTTGTCTATTATTCCTGTCTACTCTCTCTCTATTATGCATTTCTTGTACTTTCTTCTCTTCCTTTTTGTGATACATGGAGTGTGGCGACTTGAACTGCTGCACATCGGTACAAAGTTGTTATATGTTGAAAACATCACAGTACTGACTGATAAGATTTCGTTTGTATGCAAAAGGAACAAACACAACTTGAAATGGATGGGTGAATACGCCAATCCACGACTTTTTCATCTAAATATCTCTTATCATATTACCCATCTGATGTGAACGCGCAAAGCAGAGAGAGAGAGACTACAATCAATACACAATGATGATATTAGGTCAACTGACTACGTATCAAAAGTATTTAATCCTTTTTGTAGTGGGATAGATAAGTACATCACCACTTAATCATTTTTCGGATTATACACTAATCATTTTTCAAAAAACAACGTTTGACTTTTATCACTTGACCTAGAATGATATTTCTTAGTCAGATATTTCTATGTCGGTTAATGCTTACTAATTCAACCCACACTCATTGATATTACATTTCACTTAATCAGGATAATATTTTTTTCTTTTTTATTCCTTCACGTTCCCAGTGGAACATAGGGCTTTAGGCTAGAGGCTTGAAGTTTCTGTAGCAGAGTTTATTTTTACGGGATGGGGTTGCTAGCTTCACCTGGCCTAACCTTCCCTCTTTACCAGTCTTATTACTCTGGCTTAGCGAGGTAAAGGAGTGCGTTGGCCGAGGATCGAACCGCTGTGCCACCGACGCACCACGATAATATAGCACAATAATAATAATGACTGTGATGAGTTAAATATACAAACGTTGGATTGTAGCTTGTTAATAATATAGATTGCCACCATTTCAGCTGGTTAGAATCTTATTTTATCAACCAAGATTTGAGCAG